GGGGGGGGGGGGGGGGGGGGGGGGGGGGGGGGGGGGGCGTACTGTAATGGTTCGTCCTTACAGTCAGACCATTGACCATGCGTCCTCGAGAGGACGGAGCTTCGTGAGGGAGGGCGTACTTGATGATTTGAATGCCTCAATTGTGAGACCATGGACCACGCTTCGCCGCGAGGACGTAGAACTGTCAGGGGGATACCGATGTCAGGCATGCCGTAATTTTTAGACCATTGACCACGCGTCCTCAAGAGGACGGCGCATTGTTCCACAGGACCGACCGCCCATGGCCAATGTTTCCTTCCTACTTCGCCAAAACGTAGATTCAACACAAATTGTGAGAGCAAAATAATGTAAAACGCATGCCGTAGTCGTTAAGCCATTGACCTTGCATCCCTGCAATGTCGGGACGGAGCGATATGGCTTCCGGGTTTTCGCCTAGGCAACGTGCGTCTCACAAGGAAGACAGAAGCTGGTCGTCATCATCCTGTTTGCTGGGTTGATGAGGGGGTTACGGGAGAAGGCTGTCCTGCTGCTGCACGAACATACCTCGTCGTCGCTGCCCTTCTGGCACTCGTTGCATTCCGGGATCTCGTAGTATCGTCCGAACGTGTCTCGTCCTGGGACCTGACCAAGCACAATTATGATTCGGAGCGGGAAAGTGGGGTTCCGCGAGATGACGATGAGGGGGGCGGGGGTAGGTACGCCGGGACCTACGACGAATCGTCCGAATATTATCTTGGTCCCAAACATGGATTGTCGGTGGAGGCTGGGTGGGGCAAGAGGGAGGTAGAAATCGGTTTACAACAGTGGAGACCCAAAAGGTTCACGCGACACGATCTTCTGGGAAAACTAGCCCACCATCACAATCATTGTCCGTGGCCCTACAGTTTCTTTCCTGCCCTACAGCCTTTGCTTCTCTACGCCAAGGGCACCCAACGATCCAACGGCACTTACACCACCCCAGCCTAACGATAGCGGTGGTCTGCACTCACTCAGCCCATTCTGTCCTTGGACACAGTGGTCTGCCTCTTTGCAACAACCATAGCCACCTGAAAGCTCAGGAGAGGAGAGGAGGCCATCTATACTATACCTCTGCACTCACCCAGCCAGTCCTGTCCTTGGTGACCTTGGTCTCTTGGCACCTGAGGCAAGCCTTCCGGGGACACTTTTGGCAGAACACCACAGGTCGGCCGTCTTTGGGCTGCCGCGGGTACTGAAGGCATAGGAAGCACTGGAGGACGTGCATGTGCCGCACCTGCCAAAAACAAACGAACCGAGATTAAGATCGTGAAAAACGCACACACACACGCACGCACGCGCACACCCTTTTCATTGAGCAGCGGTTGGCGCGGTCCATGGTACGGCATAAGAACGCAAGAATCCACGAGGTGTATCTCAGTGGAAGAGCCGTCATGCATGATCAGCATGATCAATCAACAACCACAGGCCGCTGGAGCATGAGGCCTTGCCCTACACCAAACCCCACGCTCACGCCGATCATGATACACGTCATAAAGATAAGACTAATACAGACTTTTCAGGTTTTCTTTGGGCTTCGTTGTGGTTCGCTGGGCTCCTCGAGTCACAACACGCCAGCTATTGTGAGGTTGGGAAACGTCACACCGGAAGCTGGTGGGCTTGGTCCTGCTGCCTGTGAATATTTCCATGTCGATCCCCCCTTGGTGACAGTACTGCCGTTTTCTAATGAGCAGAAAACCGTAGTTTAGCCTATGTTATCAACACCTGTCGAGGACAACGACGCACTCACCACACATGTAGAGTAATCCGGCACCCTTCGCGTGGGCGTTCCCTCTTCGCCCCCTCCCTCCTCCTCCCCCTCCTCTACGCCCGGCCGCTTGCCCTTCGACGGGCTTCCACCGCAAACGACCGACGACGCGCAGGGAGACTTCGACAACAACGATGACGGCGATCCGCCCCGCGCGCTGGTTGGCTCCTCAGCTAGCAAGGTCTCGCCCCCGTCGCTGGTTGGTCCATCGGCTAGCATGGTCTCGTCCCCGCCCCCAACGCTGCCATTATCCTCATCATCACGAGCGGGAACGGCACCGTGTTCCTCTGACGTTCGGACGCCGTCTGTCGCTGACGTTCGGACGCCGCCTGTCGCTGACGCTTGGGCGCCGTCTGCCGCTGACGCTTCGACACCGGCTGCTGCTGCTGCTTCGGCACCGGCGGTCGCTAGCGTTTGTGTCATCTGGCAGTCTTCGGTCGCAGGGGCGGCAGCGGAAACACAAGCGGCGGCATCCTTGCTCTCGCTGGTTGTTACGGCACCTGCTTCGGCTGCCGCCGGCGGTTCCGTCTTCCGGCCGTCCTCGTCCGTAACATACCCCCTGCTCTCGCTCGTAGCTGCTTCAGGTGTTACCGGCGCTGCCGTCTTCCGGCAGTCCTCGGTACTCACAGCAGCGGCGGCGGCGGCGGCGGCGGTTGAAACAACAGCAGCGGCTTCTTCCCTGCTCTCGCTGGTGGTTGCCGCGGCTGCTGCTACCTCGGGCGGCGATGCCGCCGCTTCGTTCGGCCGGGGGATACTCCCGGCAGCAGCGGGAGTCGTTGCTCTCCCGTCCTTGCCGCTAGGGGTAAGCATCCACCGCTCGCCGGCGGAGGAACCACGGCCTAACTCTGCCACCCAGGAGGGGTCCAGGGAGACGGCGCTCTCCCGCTCACACGCGGGGTGAACGGCGGCCGGCAGCCGGGGTGGAACGGAATTCAACGAAACGGAGGCGGCCGTGGCCGAGCGGATAGAACCTGTTGGTGATTCTGGCCCTAACGGCAGAGGCCAGAAGGGCGGCGGCGGCGCCTGCGATCGCAGGGAGGAGAACGCTGCCGAAGACGCCTCCTGCTGTGGCGGGCACGACGACGTGCGGCAAGAGCTTGCACATGGTGGCGGCGGCCGCGGTTCCAGCAGCTGGTTAGGCCGCGAGGTCGCAGCAGGCGCAGCAGCAGAGGGAGTTGCCCGCTGGGCATGCGGTAACCGGAGCACCCCCACTTGCTGCTGCTGCCGTTGTTGCTTCGCCGCCCGATGCTGCCGCCGTTGCTGCTGTTGCCGCGCCACCGCAGCCGCCGCCCCGGCGTTCTCCGGCGCCGCCGCTGCTGGCGCCATTCGCCACGAGCTCGAACGCGGTAGGGCTATCCAAAACTTCTCCGCCACCGTCGTCGACGTCACCCCCTTCGAGCGCTCCGCGAGGTGGCTAACGGTGTTCGGCAGGGCTTTCCCCGGGAAGACAGAGCGCGTCAGCCCCGGCGTTATCTTCCTGCCCATCCCTACCGCCAGACCCGCGGCGCGGCTCGGGCCTCGTGCTCCTCTGTTCACACCACGGCTACTACCTCCGCCTTGATGTTGCTGCTGCGGCGGCCCGCGCGTGGAGACACCGTTCTCGCTGGACCTGCTGCTTGCACCACTTGTCTCCAAAGCGTCGGTCGCAGCAGCAGCAGCAGCAGCAGCAGCAGCGCCCTCATCCGGCGTGCTGCTTCTCTTCGCCGCCGCCACCACCCCCGCCATCGCCGCCGTCGCCGCGGCGACGGCCTTCGCCTTAGCCTCCTGCGCCGCCACTATCGCCCCTCCCCCCGGCCGAGCCGCAGGCCCACCGTTATCACCCCCGCCACCGCCACCGCCGCCGCTCAACCCCTCGTCATGGGTATCGCCGGATGACGGGAAAGGGCATGGAGGCGGCGGTGGCGACGGCGATGGGGTGGATGGTCTCGCCGCCACCCCGCCTCCGGAACCGTACGCGTCTGCGTGGGGGGGCGCCGGCTGCGGAACGCCGCCGCCCCCGTGCTGTAGCTGGTGGAGCTATTGTACGGGGAGCGCGGATGGGCAAGGGGAAGTGAGGATTGGGGNGGGGGGGGGGGGGGGGGGGGGGGGGGGGGGGGGGGGGGGGGGGGGGGGGGGGGGGGGGGGGGGGGGGGGGGGGGGGGGGGGGGGGGGGGGGGGGGGATGTTCTCAGCATCACGCAAAGACGCTACGAATACGGCACCTGCCGATGCTGGACGCATCGTTTCAAAGCACTGACGGCTTGTCTTGACACCCAGGGCTACCCTGCCCTCTTGCGTAAAACATAGCGCCCTCTTGCTTGTACCTCGGGGATGGGCTCAACAACCTCAACCTAAATGCGCCAATCGCCTTTCACACAAACACGGTACAAAAGTAGCAGCTCAAAACAAGCACAGCGGAGGTCCCTGCTTAGTGTCGGTTGAATAGTGCCGGTGTTTTCGGCGGGCACACACTGGATTTCCAAGTCATTCTCAATACTGTTGAACAGTGCCGGCCCGGTATTGTGACGAGTTTTTCTGGGCATTTACCGGCACTAAACAGGGACCTCTACTGGCATCATCAGCAGCAGTCGTAGCAGCAGCAGCAGCAGCAGCAGCAGCAGCAGCAGCAGCAGCACTCGACAGAAACAGGAAAGGAATCGAACTAGAAGCAGCGGTAGCTACACGTCCTCTCACCTCCAGACTCCGCAGCTTCGCACGCGCAGCCTCTAGCTCTCCGACGACCTCTGCCTTCGACCGCGTGAGGTCGGCAATAGATCGCACGAGGTCGACGTTCGTGGCCTGCTCCTGCTCCAGCTTGGCCTGCTTCTTCGCGCACAACTGGACGCCGCACACGGGTAAGCAGGAGTAATAAGCCAGACAACACAGGAGAGCGCGGGGGTTCACAACGCAGAAGGGCAAGCGTGAAGTGACGGAGAGAACGATAGACAGCATCGGGGAGGGAGGGGGGCGTCCAAAACCGAAATGGTACTCTAAAGCAGTTGAGGACGTGGACCAAACATACGCACATATATGCATACACGAGAAATTAGGTGAAGGGGTAGCAGCCGCTGGCTCAACTTCAGGCAAGGACGTGGCGCACCAACTCCAGAGAGTCACTTTGGAGCTTTCACCCCACCCGCACACCCACGACCAGAACACAGGGGATATCGCAAGGAGTTCGCATGATGTTCACAGGGGTCCCGCCGGTTGGGAATGTTTCGTGTTTATGAACCCCAACCCGCACCCCCTCCTGTCTCTCTCAGGCCACATAGTCTGCTTCTTCGTCTGTATTTCTTCGCCCACGTTCACCAGCCGAAAAAATAGCGGAGTCTTGGGCTTGGGAACCCCCGAAATACTACGAGCCGTGCTTCTGCGTTTCGCTTGTTGAACGTGAGCGAGAGATGCCCGCTAAGTCGGCACGGGAAGGACTGGGTGGCCTGGGAGTGACAGGAGGGGTTGCTGGTTGGGTTCAAAAAGACTAAGCATCACGGAGAGGAATATGCGTGCTCTGGTGCTTGCCATGAGGTTGAAAAAAAAAAAAATGTATTGTTTGTTTGTTGCCTCGAGGGTGATGAAAATAATGCACATGGTCGACATCCGCTCCTTTCCTGAAGTGGTGACTTCTGCAATGCCAGTGAAATACTTGTACTGGGCTACATTGCAACTTGTGGTGGTTGGCGGGTAGAGACGCTTGGCATAATGGCAACCTCTTTCTGTTTTGCGGCAGATCTGTGCAACCTCCTAAACAAACTTGGGTGCAGCAGCTTGCTTGTTCCTTGCGCCCAGTGGGATTCTCTATTTATTAACAACGGACCACAACATCAGTACCATAGCTTGTGGTACCAGTCTGAGCGTGTTGAGAACCCCGGCCACACTTGATGCTGTGGGTGTTTGGGCATGGATATCATAGACATCTGCCCGCAGGCGAACGTAGCTGGCCATCTGTCGCTTCTGCTGGATGACGATACGTGGAGTGATAGGGATACCGCCCGCTGCCCCTTTTCCTCAAAATAGCAGTCCAATCAATGCACCCGTATCGGCGTTGGTATTAGAAGCCGGCCATTACATCGTTGAGCAGTCTGACACGCATCAGGACGGCATGAAGCATGTCTATCCCGCGCAACCACCGCCCCTTTCCGATGCCGTGTGCAGTCCAATAACAACACCAGACAGCCGGCGAAAAATCGATCGGCAGCGGTGTGGTCGTGGATACTACGGTGTTGTACCTGAAATTTTCGAGCATGATATATGGAGCGTTGTGTTAAAATCGCCCCCGAAAGCGGTTCATCTTTAAAAATCCGCACACACGGGATGTGTTTTTGAGAAAAGAATCATGACCATGCAGTGGTGCGCAACGAGATTTGTGGTTGGCGAAAACCTCGTTGCTCAATCCTTTGCAAGCTGGGCTCCCACCAGAGGCTACTACTGCTGTAGGCCAGAGTGCCCACAAAGGACGGGCGTCGTGGCTCGGTCAAACAAGGCGCTCGATGTGTATTGACTCCAAGTGACAGGGGCGTGTGCGCAATAGGCGTGGTGGGTACGCAGTAAATTCGCCGGATTGTGCGTCCGAGGCTCGCCACCCCTCCCTTCGCGCGTAGTAAGCTATCACCCATCGGGGTTGTTGCCTGCTCACTGCGAAATTCGCCGTCCCTGTGCAGCATGCTCACCGGACAGGAGCTCGACTTTGCTCTCTTGGGAGGGGGCTCGAGGCGTGGCTGCAAATCGTAGTCCCAGAAGGAGCTCAGGGACTCCTCTTTCTCCGCCATTGGCACAAGCCCTTCCGGCGCTCTGGACACGCAGAGCACGGGCCCGCCAGACCAGGCTGGCACGCTGTATCCTGCACAAGCGGCGCGCACGTTGAACAGAAAACACACGTATAGCCACGCACGGATCAGGATGCTGGCCATGTCACTTGCCATTTTTCTCGGGGGTTCCGCGATATCAACCAAGGGAAAGCGGTAAAGCGGTATGTCTCCGAATCCTATCTGACGGTTTCATCTTTTGGGTGAAATGCTTGCCTGTTGCACGCTCGCCGGTTCAAAGCGGTCTGTACTGCGTTTGCTAGGCTGCATTGTTTCGCGGCAGCCTTGCAGCAGGGAAGCTCGCAGGTGATGGCTCTCCGGACCTACGGAAGCGATACTCTCAACGGTGCGTGTAGCTTCCGTCTTTTTCTCGTGTGGCACCGTCACAAACGAACGGCGGCAGAGCACTTCGACGAGTTGAATTTGTACCCATAACCAACCACCTTACAGACACGACAGCTATGCAGAGCTAGCAGTCTGCGTGTTAAGTATTTTCGTGCACATTATGTTACACGATAGCTGTGCAGAGCTAGCAGTCTGCGTGTTTTGTATTTTCGGGCACATTAAGTTATGGCAAGGGCCGTATGTGCAGAGTACGGCGGTGCGTACATGTTTGGACGACCGCTGGGAGGTTCACGGCAACAACAGCGCACGGTTTGCCATTGATGGCCGTCAACGGTTGTTTGCCGTCCAGACCATGTTTGATTGTTTTTCGTCGTCGAATGAGTAGTATAGCGCAGTGTTGCCAACGCAAGCCGGGGAAAGGGGCACGTACATCGAAGTGGAAAATCTACACACATGCGCTAAAGAAAGGGGAGGCGTGCTGGTGAAAACAGACCATCGATCTGCCCCGAGATTTTTCTTGGGCACTTGGAGGCAATGGGTACGCCGCACGCACACAATACGTCTTTTGATTGGTCAGTTCTTTGGTCAGCCGGTTAGCGCGGTCGATGCTATTAGTAAAGGCACACACAAACCCTTTACGATTGATGCCTTTTCAGCCGATTTGCACGGCCGATACTGTATTAATTAAAAAATAAACACACACAATTCCAAGGAGAAATGTTTCCGTCTAGAAAATAAATATTGCACGGCAGCACCGTAGTACACTATGCGCTTTTGAGGAAGACAAATCCTGCAAAAACGGCCAGGGTCAACACTTCGCTCCGCTTTCGCTTTACTGTTGGGCGAACTACATTTTGTACCGATGGGCGGGTATTCATTCATTTGTTCAAGCCGACTTCAACACAAGAGGATATGGCAGGCACTGCTCCAAAGCGTGGATGGATATGTGTCGCTGAATCACTACCCCGAACACACAACCTCCTATTCCTATCTGGCAGACAACTGGGCGGAGGAGAGGTCGAAGGCTCTCCGAGGAGTTCTTCCGGACTTCGGCCACGTAAGCGTGCTAATCACCACCTTGAGTACCTGAATAAGTACATTTTTAACATATTAGGGCGACCGTTGGCTAACCTTTCAGGTCGTGGGAGGGGGCACTCTCGCAACGGCCGCGTTGCAGATGCTGCTGCTCGCAATCTGGGCTGTGCAACTATTTCAACAAAAAAAATTGCCAGACCCTAATGTTGTCCAAATGTGAGGGCAACAGATTTGCGTCTACGTCTCTTCTACGACTGCTACAGTACATACTGTTCGAAAGTACCGCCATTGAAAATCTAGAGGTGCAGAAATGTGCCATCCACATGCCATTGATGACACCCCCAGATCCTTGTGCTGCTTTTGCCCACGATTTTCCCGTCGTCAACACCGCACTTTTGAATACTGCTACCTTCGTAGCGGGAGTATGAAACAACTCACAAGACAGCGTTTTCGGCGCCGCGAACTGGGTCCCGGGGGTCGTCGAGCCAGACTGGCTGGAGCAATGCCTTTTGGAGGCAGCGACGGGTAATTAACCCATGTCATAGGTATCGTGACCACGCATTCCCGACGTAGGTTAGCGTAATGCGGAAATAAGCTAAATTTCATATCGTGGGGACCCCGGCTTGCTTTCCCCCCGAACTTCAAGTACGACAGTGGTGAAATTTCGTAGCTTTGGATAAGACGTTGGGCTTGTGGCGGCACGGATTCCCACCCGGGCTCTATTGTTCCCTCAAACCTGAGTCTCGGTGTTGCGGTTGTTATAAGCGAGACGCCTCGATGGCAGAGCAGTTGCACATTCCATAACAACGGTGCCAAGTACAGCAGTGTGGCTGAGGGTGAAAGGTCATGTACCGTAGTGATCCACCTCGTACCTCGTGTCCCTGATGTCAATCGTTGTGGGAACGGTGATGTAGGCCGTCCTATATCACATGCCATAGAGATGGGCAACCCTTCGAAGGGTGTTCCAACTTCTCAATGAGATGCATTTGCCCGCAAGGTAGTTGAATAGAGCCTCGCATAGGTCTTCTCTCCGATGGACTCAATAACTGCCTCAGCCGAAGCGCTGAAAATGAAAAAAAATCGTCGTGCGAGCTATCGCCTGAAGACCGCACCCCGCAGAATCCCGCAGCACGACTCGCGGTCTTTTGCCGACGCTACCCTCTGATACTCTTGTCTTCTGGTGTTGCCATCAGGCAGATCCCGTCGCCAATCCTGGACTGCTGAACATGACGCAAGCTTGCACGATGCAGCAGGCCATGCGCGACAGGTGATACCGCGATTCACGCCAGCGAGCAAAAAATACGCCTCGGCGGAACAAGAGTTGACACCCCCGGCTGAGGTGCCGCTTATCCTAGGGAATTCCGGTTTGACGTAGACTACCTTGCGGAAACCTCCGGCTCCTAAACGCGACGGACGATAGCTCCGCCATGGTCGTGACAACCGCCACAGCTTGGTTTCGCCCGTGTGTAGTGTATCTCAAATGCTGGCTTCAAGAAGAGCAGGTTTGGCCTCTTGTTGACTAGCCTTTTTGTATGACGGCGAGTACTCCGGCAAGTACATAACAGGACAAGTTGGTATGCTGCAGGCCGCTGCTTTCGCCCACAGTACGTTCGCTGATACGTCCTGACCGTTGCCCATCTGTCCCCCCCCCCCCCCCC